GAGGAAGGGGGGCACTGGATGGATTGGGTTAGGAATGGTGCAGGGGCCTGTTCTTCTTGGTGGAGAGATGTCAGAAGGATTGATAAAGCAGAAGGGGAATTCATAGGGTGGTTAGCAGAGGGCTTTAGATTGAAGGTAGGAGAAGGGAAGGAAGTAAGCTTCTGGTGGGACGAGTGGTGCGGGGAGATTTGTCTAGCAAACAAATTCCCGAGATTGTATCTTTTATCTGAAGGAAAGGAGAAAGAGTGCAGCAAAATGGGATCTATGTGCAATGGAACGTGGAAATGGAATCTTACATGGAGAAGGAAGTTGTTCGAATGGGAAGAAGAGGCAGCAAAGGAACTTAGTACGATGATTGAAGGTGTGAAGATATATCCTGGACGACCTGATGAATGGGAGTGGATTCTTAGCAAGGATTCTCGTTACTCATCCAAGACGGCGTACTCGCTCTTGACAAAGGTGCCGAGGTGCCTGACACAAGAAAAAGTCTTCAGGAGAGTATGGAACCCCATCCTTCCGACCAAGATTTCAGCCTTCAACTGGCGACTGATGCTCAATAGACTGCCAACCAAATCTAACTTGTTGAAAAGAGGATTTAGCGTAATCATGGGTGATGGCAATTGCAGCCTGTGTCAAGAAGAGGTAGAAGACGCAACCCATCTATTTCTGAAATGCAAAAATGTAAGATGGATATGGAAGGAGTGTGCTAGGTAGTGGGGGATCAATATAGAGATACAAGAGGACTGCTGGAAGACATTTGAGCAGCCTGGGGTGTGGTCCAGAAACACGAGGATCAGAAAAGGATGGGATTGTACCTGGAGTGCAACGGTATGGTCCATATGGCTAATGCGGAACCAAAGAATCTTCCATAACCAAGAGATGGATCCGGGTAAGCTATTTGATCTGGTTCAAATTCGATCGTTCTTATGGTTTAAAGCAAAAAATGCCTGGTGTTACTTTACTCTTTCGGATTGGATTAGCAATCCCATTGCATGCCTCACTGTGAACTGTGGTGGTAAAAGCTAGGGAGGAATTGTCTGAAAGATGGAATTAACATTTTAGTGGCTGGGTTTTGTGTTGTCTTGTGTTAATGCTCAGGTGGTTTTTTCTCGTCACGGGTATGGTGTCGACACTTTGTGAGGGTGTCGACACCCTGCTTCTTCACTAATGTAAATGTAGGCTTTTCAATCAGTTTTGTTAAGGGTTTGGGGTACCCCTTGTACTCCGTTTATTAATATATATATCCTTTGCTGTTCAAAAAAAAAAAAGCAGCATTACATTCTGTAGGATGTTGTCAAGCTCCTTTGTTTTTTCTTGTTCCCATGTGTAGAGTTCTCGGTTCCACTGAGGATTCCACTTCCATATTCCTTTCTGCCAACATCCCATTTGGTTTAGCTTGTTATTTTTACCTGTAGAGATCAAAAATAATCTTGGAAATATGTTAGCCAACTCTCCAACATCCCTCCACTAGTCCCTCCAAAAGCTCACGCTACCTCCCTCACCTACTATGAAATAAAATCCTTTAGATATCCATCTAATTCTATTTTGATCAGCTACATCTATTCTACATACATCTTGCCACCATCTCGATCCTTTCCCCCTGCCCTCTCTAACCCAAATTTCCCAATTTTCATCTCCACCACCATATTCTACATGCTTGATTTGTTTTGTTTTGTGTTATTTCAATTTGCAATTTAATTTATTTGCACAAATTACTAAAGGTTTTGCCTTAATTATTTATTTTAATCAATTTATGAAGCAGTTCTTTTTCACTTTTTCGTTTTTTATGATTATTTTATTTTATTTTTTTTGAATTTTAAAATTTTTCTTACTTTTGTTTTTTCTTTTAATTTGTTAACTTATCCAAATAAAGAGAAGGGAAGGTAAAGGAATGGAAGTATAAAATTTCCCTCCTTTCCATTCCCCTCAACCAAAACATACAGTTATTGATAATATCAACACATTAAAGTACAAATTAAATTCCATAAACCAAATTACAAACGGTAAAAATCGATACTTAACAACTTGCACAATACAAAGACTCACTCTTGTATCCTTGATAGCTCAAGGTATCAATTAAGATCTTCACTTTATTCACTAGAAACTTGATTAAGAGCAATATGCTATTTAATTAAATAGCCACACTATGGAGGACCACTGTCTCAACTGTTATCCCAGGTCCAAACCCAAGGAGCACGCCCCACTCAAATCCTTCTCCTGTAGTTTTGAGTGCATTTTCGGCTGACTTCTTCCTCATCTCATCCAAGACAAATAGCACAGATGCACTCCACATGTTGCCATACTGAGCCAAAATATGTCTTGAAGCTCGCAGCTTTTCAGGATTAAGACCCAACTTGGCCTCCACTTCGTCCAATATAGCTCGACCGCCTGGGTGCACAATCCAAAAAATGGAGTTCCTATCTATGATGTCTAAACGCTCGAATGCCTCCACTAGGCTCCTCTCAATATTGTTGGAGACTATTTTAGGAATACACTTGTCGAGGTGGAATATAATCCCAGCTTCTTGCATACTAGCGGTAATTGCTCCATCACTCTCTGGTATGATACTTTGGGATGTTGATACCAATTGAAACAAGGGCTTCTCAATTTCAGGTATTGGGTCCGAACCAACAATAACTGCTGCCGCACCATCACCAAATAAGGCCTGACCGACAAGGTTATCCAGGCAACTTTCACTAGGTCCATGAAATGAAACGACGTCACTAATCTCTGAGCAGACAACCAGGACACGAGCCCCTTTGTTGTTCTCTGCTAGGTCTTTAGCCACGCGAAGTACAGTGCCACCAGCATGGCATCCTAATTGGCAGATCACGACGCGTTGAGTAGATGGGTGGAGACCTAATAGATTGATTAGCTGATGCTCAGCTCCGGGCATTTCTACACCACCGAAACTTGTGTAGAACAGAAGGTGGGTGATTTTGGACTTGGACTGGCCCCATTCTGCGATGGCTTTGACAGCTGCTTCTTCGCCCAACTTTGGTACCTCCACGCGCAAAATATCTTGCCTAGTACCTAGGGAAGGTTCCATGTATGAACATATATTAGGGTTCTCATTGAACATGTCTTCCGTTAAGTGCATATAACGCTTCTCGATGTTGGATCTTTTGCCTGAAATTCGAAAAAAGCATCACATATAAACGTAGGAACAAAACCGATCCAAGAGACATGGCATTGGCAAAGCTTGACAGTTGATATGGACAACCTGGCCCCTTATTCATCTTGTATAAGGAAAGAGAAATGATTTAAAAACTTTTCAATTTAACAAATATCACACACTTTTTTCTTTTTTTTTTGAACAATGGGAATTTTCTTCGGGGATAAAGAAAGGAGGACTTGAAATTGAATCTAAATTCAATTAGTTCTAAACACGTCCTGCCTTGCAGGGAGGCTAGTTAGCCTCCAAATGCTGGACATCACATTCATTGATTTAATGATTAAAATATAATAAACATGCATTTAATTTGGTTGGTTTTTTTATATTGTATATATAATTATATTTTTAAATATTTTTGTCATTAATTTAGGATTAAAAAATAATAATTTTTTAATAAATATATTATAAAATATATTAAATTAAAAGATGCCTAATCAATATCATAAAGAAATTAGTTAAGGAAATTACCCTATATTTTCCACGCATATGTATATATATGTTGGAAAAATAATTGGTGGAAGCTAGCCAAGAACTCAGAAAAAGGAAAGGAAACATACAAATACGCCGAAATTTCTCCTTGAGTTCTACCATGTGCTCGCTATTAGTGACGCGGAAGTAGCTGTCTACGTAGGTGCTTTGGTGGACGCAATTGGGAGGGGTGGCGGTGCCAATGGCCAAGACCGTGGCAGGGCCCACGGCACGTTGAGCCTTGCGAACTTCATCCACAGTCACCATTATTGTTTCCTAGAAGAAGAACAAGCAGCGATAGGCAGCGATACAGGTGAAATATAACAGTAAGAAACAGAAGAGAATGAGAAATTTTTGAAGAAAAATTTATTATTTTTTAATAATATTATATGTAGAATGATTTATATATAAGTGTTTATAAAAAAAATATTTTAAAATATAAAGTTTACAAAAAGGTGTTTACAAAAAAAATATTTTAAAATATAAAATTTACAAAAAAAATATTCTAAGGTCTCAAATATTTACAATAAATGTGAATGGTGTGAAGAAGTGTGAATATTGTAAATATAATTTGAATAGTTTGATTGTCAATTGTTGTGTTTACATCTTAATAATAACATAATGAGATTAAAGAGCTATTTAGTATAACGGTTTAGAGGTAGCGGTTAGTGATTTTATCAAACTGCTAAGAATAGATGTTTAATAAACTTATTTATTTTGAAACCACTATAAATTAAGTGTTTGATAAAACTTTTTATTTAACGGTTTAGATCTTACAGATAATAATTAAAATCTAAACTACTAATGAATTAAAAAGTCTATCTAAATTAGCCTTTTGTACTAAACTACTTTGCGAATTGAAAATTTTTAATTTTATTAACAAATTTATCATTTTTAATTTTTAATTTGGTCATGATATTTAATTAGTATTTATCTTATTAGTTTTAACTTTATTCTTTACCTATAATAACATTAAATAATTATTATATTTTTATATTTACATTAATTTATTAAAAAAATATTAAATTAATAAGCAAAATTTACTAATTAGATGAAAAGATTAAAATTTTTCACTTTATTTAAAACCAATATAATTTTTTCCTTTATTAAAAATAAAAATTAGTGTATGATTATATTATTATAATGTATGTGTTTATTTATTTATTATTATAAAACTAATAATTTTAATATAAAAGTTATAAAAAGAAAAAATACAATTAATTATTTTTAAATATATCCTTATCAGTCATTTAATTTTAAATAACAATTACTAACTATTGTATAACTAAATAGTTATAGTAATTAAATCTATTATCTACTATTCACTGTCGACTTTCCATTATCTATCACCCAGTATCCATTAACCACCACCTGTTATTTGTTACTCACTACTATTATCCGCTATTCACTACTCATTACTTATTATCCGTTAAATTTTAACCATTATATCAAATAGATCCTAAGAAATTAATGAATTTAATTAAGTACAAGAAAAAAAATCACTAATTAAAATTGAAAGACACAATCTAATTAACACATATATATGCTGTTGTAACCACTCGATTATTTACCCTTGATTTAGAGCTTGAACTCGATAAAAGATTACGGGAATGTTAACAAAGTTTAAAAATAAATAAATTATATAGAAAGAGAGACACTGCGAACTAATTGAGTTAGTTTTCTGCATACTCGGCTAGCACACCACCTTAAACTCAATCCTTCAGTCAATCACACAAAAAAAAAAAAAAAAAAAAAAAAAAAGAAAAAAAGAAGAAGAAGAAGAAGAAGAAGAAGAAGAAGAAGAAGAAGAAAAAGGAAGAAGAAGAAAGGGGAAAGAATTTTCAGTTTTCTATTACTCCATGGTCGAAAAGAGAAAAGAAAAAACTCTTACTTACCTTTTTTTTCCTTCACCTAGCTAGCTGATCCCTACGATACGCCAAATATGGAAACTCGGTACGTTATATAGGGCTCCAAGCCAACTACTAGCTAGCCTTCAGAGTTCAAAGTGACGGATGAACTACCTAATTCAAAGATTCAACTATTTACATAATAAATAAATAAAGGTTAAAATCCCATTTTGGTTCCTGAACTATTGTACAAATTCTTGATTTAGTCCTTAAACTTAAAAAATCCCTAATTTAGTTTTTACTATTTACCATTTTTACCCCAATTTGGTCCTCCTCTTAATTTTTTCAGGTTAACTGACGGAAGAAGCATTACGTGGCAAAATTAAATGACATGGCAATTTCCAACTCATCTCACCCAAAAAAAATCACATTTTTCAGCTCTTTTTTTTTTTTTTCGTTCCTCTCTTTCCTCTTTCCTCTTTCCTCTTTTCCTTTCTCTTTCCTCTACCATTGCTGGGTTCTTCTCTTTCCTCTGCCCTTTCTCTTTACTCTACCATTGCTCAGTTTGATTGAACTCAGCAAATTCACTGGGTTCCATACCCAACGGATTTGCTGGGTATCGAACCTAGCAGATTCGCTGGGTTCCATATCCAGCAAATCCGTTGGGTTTGATCAATACCCAGCAGATTTGCTGGGTTTGATTGATACCCAACGAACTTGCTTGGTATCGAACCTAGCAGAACCGCTGAGTTCAAGGAACCCAGCGAATCCGTTGGGTTCAATTAATACCTAGTGGATTTGGTAGGTATTGAACCCAGCAGATCTGTTGGGTTTGATCGATACCCAATGGACTTACTGGGTATCGAACCCAGCAGAACCATTGGGTTCTCGAACCCAACAGATCTGTTGGGTTATTTTGAACCTAGCTGTTGCTGGGTTTCAAACCCCAACAGCTCCACTGGGTTCTTTTGAACCCAACAAGCCTTGGATGAGGCAATTTGGTTTGATGATGACGAAGAATTTTGTTTGATGATGATTGTTTGATTTAAAATGAATGAAGAAGATTCGAGAGGGAGGATGCTAAGGAAGAAGAT